ACCAGCAGCACCTACCAGCAGCACCTACCAGCAGCACCCACCAGCAGCACCTACCAGCAGCACCTACCAGCAGCACCTACCAGCAGCACCTACCAGCAGCACCTACCAGCAGCACCCACCAGCAGCACCTACCAGCAGCACCTACCAGCAGCACCTACCAGCAGCACCTACCAGCAGCACCCACCAGCAGCACCTACCAGCAGCACCTACCAGCAGCACCTACCAGCAGCACCTACCAGCAGCACCTACCAGCAGCACCTACCAGCAGCACCCACCAGCAGCACCTACCAGCAGCACCTACCAGCAGCACCTACCAGCAGCACCCACCAGCAGCACCTACCAGCAGCACCTACCAGCAGCACCTACCAGCAGCACCCACCAGCAGCACCTACCAGCAGCACCTACCAGCAGCACCTACCAGCAGCACCTACCAGCAGCACCTACCAGCAGCACCTACCAGCAGCACCTACCAGCAGCACCTACCAGCAGCACCTACCAGCAGCACCTACCAGCAGCACCTACCAGCAGCACCTACCAGAGTAGCAGGAGCCGTCCGCTCCTCATCCTCCATGTCATCCAGATCCGGCGGCGTGAGCAGCACAGCAATGCGCCCTCTATCCAGATGCAGAGCCGCAATCAGCGCCGCCACAGGGTTCCCAGCCCGCCGCTCCTCCTTCACCATCGCCGCCAGGTCCTGCCAGTCCATACCGCCCGCCAGCGCCTCGCGCACCGCCAGGATGGCGGCGTCCACGTCAGCGAGGTTCTGCTCGATGAGCCGCGCCTTGTGCTCCGCCACGTCAACCTCCTGCTGCAGCTGCTGCGCCCGCTTTTGCTGCGGTAATTAGAATAAGGGTTGTGAGTGGGGAGACGAGGGGAGCAGAGAGGTGGAGGAGATGGGCGAGGAGGGTTGGGAAGATAGGGTGATGAGTGAGCCGCGCCTTGTGCTCTGCCACGTCCACCTCCTGCTGCAACTGCTGCGCCCGCTTTTGCTGTGGTGGATAGACCAGGGGATTGAAGGGGGGAGAGGAGGGGAGCGGAGAGCGGGGGGAGATGGGAGGGGAGATGGGGTGGGTGGAGTAGGGGATTGTGGGGGAGCGAAGGTAGGGAAGAGGGGGAGGGGGTGGGAGGGGGAGTGTTTGGGATCAAAGACAAGAACTTTAGGCAAAGATGAGTTTTGACACGAATTGAAATAGATACAATGGTGATTGAGCAGCATAGAAGGACCAAGATTGGGGCAGGAACACGAGCGGGAGCAAGAGGGGGAGGGCGGGAGGGGCCGGGAGTGGGAGTAGGAGAGAGGAAGATGCCAATGAATCATCCAAATAGAGCATGAGAACATCAGCATCAGCATCAGTATAAGAATCAGCATCAGCATAAGCATCAGCATCAGCATAAGCATCAGCATCAGCATCAGCATCAGCATCAGCATAAGCATCAGCATCAGAATCAGCATCAGCATCAGCATCAGCATCAGCATCAGCATCAGCATAAGCATCAGCATCAGCATCAGCATCAGCATCAGCATCAGAATCAGCATCAGCATCAGCATATCAGCATCAGCATCAGAGCATCAGCATCAGCATCAGCATCAGGATCAGCATCAGCATCAGCATCAGCATCAGCATCAGCATCAGCATCAGAATCAGCATCAGCATCAGCATCAGAATCAGCATCAGCATCAGCATCAGCATCAGCATCAGAATCAGAATCAGCATCAGAGCATCAGCATCAGCATCAGCATCAGAAGCAGGATCAGCATCAGCATCAGCATCAGCATCAGCATCAGAATCAGAATCAGAATCAGCATCAGCATCAGCATCGACAGGGAATGCTAGGCCTGCCTGACCTGGTCAGCCCGGATTCTCTCCAGCTTGCTCGCAGCCTGCTTCTCTGCCGCGGCCCTCTGCTGCACGGCCCGCTGCCCCTCGTACCGCGCAAAGAACTCATCCATGGCCCCATCAAACGTCTCAAACTCTCGCAGCGCCAGGCTCTTACTCTCCCCGCCGCCGCTCCCCCGCCTCTCCCTCCCTCCTTTGCTCCCTCCTTCTCCCGCTGCCGCTGCTGCTGCTGCTGCTCCTGCAGCTTCTGACTCCTCTCCTTCTCCGTTTCCACCTCCTCCTCCGCCTCCCGCACTTGCCACCTGCCCTGCAGCAAGCTGCAGTTGGCGCAGAGCCAAGGGCCAGAACTCCTCATACACAACGTCATCTTCCTCCTCCTCTTCCTCTCCCTTGCCTGCGTCGACCCCCTGCCCTTCCCCCTGCCCTGCCCCCTGCCCGTCCGCCTGCTCTTTCCCGTCCGCCTCTCCCCCTTGGGGCGCGGCTGTGCTTGCATCACCAGCCTTCCTAGCTTCGAAATGGTGCTTCTTCTCCCCCCTCTGCCGCCTCCGGGGCCCCTGCTGTGGCTGATTCTGCAGCTGCTGCTGTTGCTGTCGTTGCTGCTGGTTCTGCTGCTGTTGCTTTTCGCGACGTAGCAGGATGTAGCCTTTCGGAATGACCTTCATTTGAGTCACATTCACGAGCCACTCCTCAAACGCACTCGCTGCTGCCACAACTTTCGCTACTATCACCTCCTCCTTGCCCTGCAAACCACCCTTCCCCACCATAACACCACCATCACCCTCAGCAGCCTTTGCAGCAGCACCATCAGCACCACCATCACCAACAGCAGCAGCTGCTGCTGCTTCCAGTCCCTGTCTCACGATATGCTCACAAATAGGCAAGCCATAGCCCAGCACCGTTCCCAATCGTTCCTTCAACACTCCCACCCGCTCCTCCCATTCCCCATCTCCCCCTTCCGCACACTCCCCACCCTCCCCCCCCTGCCCCTTCCTCCCCTTTCCTTCCTCCCCGCTTTCTCCTTCCTCCCCCCCTTGCCACCTTTCCCTTTCCCTGCCCCTCCACCCCCACCACTCGCCCCACCCTCCCCCTTGCCACCACCATCCCCACCGCTCTTCTCCCCCTCGCCCTCCCCCTCCCCCGCCTCCCCCCCATGGCCTTCCGCGCCCTCCACTGGCGCTTCCCCCAGAAGCGCTTTGGTGAGCGCGGAGGGGGAGGAGAGAGTGAGGGGGCGGAGGGAGGAGAGGGGGTAGGGATGGTTGGGCATGATGGCAATACCCTTGTCATCGTCCCTGCAAGAGGCAGGCAGGGCATGGGGAACAAGGGAGAAGGAGAAGAGACACACATTGGAGTTTTCAAAAGTAGATTTAATGCCCTTGTTGACGTCCCTGCAAAGGGCACGGCAGAGGGAATAAGGGAGAGGGGCGGCGGTGGGTGAAGGAAGGGGGGACACAGGAGGCGGGGAGGCAAGGGACGGGTGGGGGGAAAATGGGACAGGGCAGGGGCAGGGGCAGGGGCAGGGGCAAGGGTAGGCAAAGGAATGAGACAGGGTGGAGGTGAATGTGAGGATAGGCAAAAAGGAGGACGAGGTGAGGTCACGAGGTGGAGACACACCGGTGGGAGCGCAGCAGAGTGAGCACGGAGTAGTTGCTGTCTGTGAGGATAACGTTCCCCCCGCGTACAGCTCCAGCAGCACATGGTGCGCTGACTCGCCCGTGCCAAACTTGAAGTCCACCACCTGGTGTGCAGTGGAGTGCGGTGTGGTGCGATGGAGTGCCATGCAATGGAGTGCCGTGCAATATCGTATTAGCAAGTACCATGTCAAGCACACAGGAGGTGGGGTGGTGAGAGGGGTTTTGGGGGTGGTGTGGGGTGCGGAGAGGTGGGTGGGGTGGGAAGAAGGGAGGTGAGATGGGTGAAAATCGCACCTCCGAAGCAGTCGCTCTATACATGCACATTCTAGCCTGACCAACGGATTTTAGCCTGCAAACAGTCACTCCCTACAAATGGTCCCGGGCAGATTGGAAGATCCCGGGCATTGCCCCTGCTCATTCCAATCTGCTTCTGAAACATAAAAAAACAAATCCACCCAGCAAGACAACCTTTCCTTGTGGTCCGAGCCTCGAAGTCTAGGGTCTAAGGCATGACCACAAGTCTAGGATAAAGGGGTTTCGGGTATGGGAGTGGGCTGCAGGGCAGACGGACTAAGCCGAGGTGTAGGGTTTTAGGTAAGGTTCGTTGAATTACCCTATCGATTCCAATCTGGGAGATGTCCTCAAGGCGGCGAGTGCGAATGTGCTTCCTCAGCTTAAGTGTGAACCCCGACGGCGTCACACTCTTGTCCCTGCAGGCAGCAACACCACACCCCCACCACACCCCCACCACACCCCCACCACACCCCCACCACACCCCCACCACACCGACCCACCACACCGACCCACCATCACAGCACCACCGGCACGCATAGCGCATGTCACATAGACAGGAGATGGCACGAATGAAATTGAAGAGGGCGAGAGAGGGGAGGAGAGAGAGTAGGGGAACGAGTAGAGGAACGAAGAGGATGGGGGAGAGGGAAGGGATGAGGCGGGACCGTGGAAAGAGCAAAGAGTATAAAAAGAGGAGGGGTTAAAACAGAAGAAGGGAATAAAGATAGGAGAAGATGGTGTAGAGGGGTGGCTGCAACAGTTGAGACGCGAGTCAGAAAGCAGCAACACCAGACAGCGGCACATCTGACACGGCAGTAGCAGCAGCAGCAGCAGCAGCAGTAATACCTGGCGAAGTTGGTGGTGTGAAAGCGCATGCCACTCTCCAGCAACAGCAACACCTTCTCGCTCTGCCCGCTCTCCGACACGCCGCTGCTCCTCGCCAGCTTTATCACGTACGTCTGGGGGGTGCGGGGAGGGGGATTGGGAGGGGGAGTAAGGGAGGAGAGAGAGCGGATAAGGGAGGAGAAGAGGACAAGGAGGAGGAGGAGGAGGAGGAGGAGGAGGAGGAGGAGGAGGAGGAGGAGGAGGAGGAGGAGGAGGAGGAGGAGGAGGAGGAGGGGGAGGAGGAGGAGGAGGAGGAGGAGGAAGAGGAGGAGGAGGAGGAGGAGGAGGAACGGGAGAGAGGAGAAAGAAGGGAAGGTGCTGAGGGCAGTGCCGCGAGTAGGAAGAAAAGACTGACATGGCAGTGAAAATTCATTTTTAGTTGATCAATTCGCATCCAAGGAAGCTCGATGGGCGGTTACCAAACGGAAGGATAAATAGCCCAGGATACATCACTAGTACTAAATACAAAGTCACTTGGCTACGAATCCACCCCAAAGGCGGAAGGACAGTTGAAGTTCTTGTGAACTAGACAAGCTGGAGTGAGATTCTCCAAACAACGGATACCTTGGGACTCAGGTCGTATAGATTGGCGACTCGGAAACCTATCAGGCGCTGACGTAGGCATGCCACCTCAGCGGCGATGTCCACCGCAGACATCCGCTGCTTCCCCATGCTGATGTGGACGATCCGTGAGAATTCCCTAGATGCTCGACTGGTAACAGATGCAGATTCAGGTGCGATGAAGTTTACCGCGGGTCTCGCGTAAAGAAAGGCCAACTGAAGACCAACAGAAGCAAAAATTGATCAGCGATCAGTGACCACTAGCGGTGTTTCACAAGACAATTCTGAGGGGGACTCGATGCTGGACGTTGTAAGAGTTGCGTTAAGAGCTGGAACTACAGTTTCTTGATGTGTATATAATAATCATGATTCAGAGGACGGTTAGGCTTGCCAAGAAAGATAGGCGATGGAGCAAGAATCTTCATTCATATAATGTGCGTGTGATGCAGGAAAATACAAAAAATAGCGGAAAATACGAGCGGTATCACACTTTCAGATGACACTCTTCCATAAATCACAATACCAGAAGAACCAGATTACACCGCAAGTACCCACGTACAGTATTAGGATACATTCCGCTGTGGACATGCGTCCCAATCGATGTGTCCCAATCGATTCTACCGCACTGCATCTTATTACACCGAATTACACCCTAGTTTCAAAATTTTCGCTTCTCTGGTTTAGTGCGGTTCGGAGCGGTACACCCGATTGGGACACATCGATTGGGACGCATGTCCACAGCGGAATGTACCCTTAGGCGTGTTGTTGTGAGATAATGATAACTAAGAAAAAATCCAAATTAGGCAATAAACGCAAGAAATTCAATATGAGTTCATTTTGGGGAATGAAACGACCAAAGAAATCGAAGGAGTCGAGGATGTTGAATCAAGCCTATGCTTCAAATATATGAGATGCAATACAGTCCGGATAAGGAAATGAAACTCCTTACAATTACATAATTGTGTGCGTTATATGTTGAAGGCTGGTCTTCGTTACAGTTGCTGATGAGTCGTTGAGGTGGAAAGCTACATATCGCGATCTGACGCTACACAACGTGCTTCTGACTAGGAACATCAAGACACCACATCAGATTACGACCCCATTGAGCTGCTGGATTCACAGCAACCAATTCAGAGGGTCACCATTCTCCATCACAAGCGCTCCGCGTCATTATCTCTTTGCATGCCCCCACAAGGCTCTCGCTGTGTTGGCAGCGCCAGCTCATCACGTATCGCTGCACGTGCCATTTCGCCGCTCGTCGTTTTTGTTCGTGTGTGTCAGGCAGGGCAGCAGACGAAGTACAGTAACCCGCGTTTCCCCCTCCCCCCCCCTCCTCTCCTCTCTTTCTCCTGCTGTACTTCACCTGCAACAGCGGAGATTTTCCAGCCGCGCATCTCCTCCTGACTGCCCCGCGCCAACTCTCGAATGCCCTTTTCCCCGTCCCCCTCCTTCCTCGAGAGGCTTGCTGCGCAGGAGCATTCCCCGACGAGCCGCACCCCGCCCCGCCAATTTTCATGTGCGAGCCCCAACTTCCAGGCTGAGCTTGCTGCTCCTTATTAGTCGGCTCATACTGACACGCAGTTTATTGGCTACTAATTAGTTCAGCTTACGCTATTGGCCCGTGTTCACCTAGTTGACATCTCGCTGTTCTCCTTCTCGATCTTCGCCTTTAATCAACTTCGTCGTCTCAACAGAGCAAAAAAAATCGCTCACATAGCATTTCCGCTGCATACTGCCATCGAGTTTTGCACGCGTTTTCATCTCTCGTGACGTCGTCTGACCCCACATTTCTCATATCTCCGTCAATCCTCGTCTCTTTCCGGGACTTTCGCTGAGGAAACCTCAACCTTTCACCGACCGCGCTGGTTTTCTGCCTGCTCGCGGACTGATAGGGCACGACGCTCGCTACCCACTCTCTCGTGCTACTTCCCTTTACAGCCTTTCCCCGGCCCGTCTGCTCACGTGCGCTTTCTCCTGTCTTCTCCGCGCTCTCCTCCGCCCGCCCTCCTCATCCCCTCTCCGCCTCTGACCGCGTTCCACTGCGCGCCCGCGCGCCGAACGCCATGTTTTCCATCTTCGACCGCATCCACTCTCCGCAGCTGCCAGGCGGGCCTCCGCCGAGCGCGCTAGAGAGGTGGGTCGCACCCACCCTGCCGCTCCTCCCGCAGCTTCTCCTTCCGCCTCCCGCGCTCCGGGGATGCCCCGCCACGGTACCGCCCGTCCTTTTCAACCGCGCACACTCACCCCACTTTCCCCGTTTCACTTCCCCGATTGCTCACGTCGTTTTGTCTACTCGCGCCCGCATACTGTAACCAATCTCTCCGTTCTGTTATGTTCGAGATTCTCATTCGTTTCTGTTATTTTCTGTCGCTGTCACGTGCCGGGTTGTACACGTGGCAGGAGCTCAGTGGACGATGTGGTGCGCGCTGACCTGGCGCGCGTGAAGGACAGCCTGCCGCTGGAATGGAAGAGCCACGTGGAGGAGCACATTCTCGACGGCGCCGCGTTCGGCACCATTCAGAACCATCCATGTGTCAGCTGGGCCGAGCACCGCGCTCCTGAGTGAGTGGAGCCGTGCTCGTCGCAAGGCCGTCGCTTGCTGTTCTGCCGTATAGCCACTTAGCATTACACAACAAACGACCATTGAACCATGTCTCACCCTGTTCCCACCGCTCTCTTCTCTCTGTTGCTCCCTTCTCCCCCTCCCTTCCCTCTCCACCCACTTCTCCCTCCGCGCAGGAACGGTGGCCGCGTTTTTGTGGTGCTGTACGGCAGCATTGGTGAGCTTACCGCGCCTAACCTCACCTCACCTCACCTAACCTGCATCTCCCACGCTGTCCTCTGAAAACTCGCACTGCTCCCCACTTTCACCGCATTGCCCTCGCCGTATTTCCGGTGCCCTCTCGACTGCGCACTACGCTGTTTGCTCCCGTCCTTCCCCCTCCCCCTCCCCCTCCCCCCCTTCCCGTCATTCGACTCGGCTCGAATGTCCCCCCCAAACATCTCGTGTTCCTTCGCTTACCCGCGCCTCTCCCGTCCTCCCTTCCTCGAACATCTTCTCGTCTTCCCAGCTAACTCTCCGTGTTTCTTCCCACCTTCCCTTCCCCATTCCCTTCCTTTCCCTCTCCCCTTCGCCGACCCCGCCCCCATTTTCTCTCTCTCCTCCTCCCCCCTCCCCCCTCTCTCCCCCCCCCTTCCCCCACCCCCCGCGCCACCCCCCCCCTCCCCCGCGCGCGCGCAGACAACGAGGACGAGGTGCGCGAGCTGTACAGCCTGCCCAAGCCCGACCGCCCCGACCCGCTGCTCGCCTTCTCCGCCTCCTCCGCGCTGCTGCTCGCCGAGCTCTACTGGAAGGTGCGCGGGGGGCCGGGGCTGTATGAGCGGGGAGGTGCGAGGGGGGGGATGCGGGGAGGTGCGCGGGGGGCGGGTCGGGGAGGTGCGAGGGGGGAATGCGGGGAGGTGCGAGGGGGAAAGTGCGGGAGTTGCGGTGGGCGGTGGTGGATAGCGGTGGTTAGGCGTGAGGGGGGGTGCGCGTGAGTACCTCGGGGAGGGCATGGGCGAGCACGCCGTGCCATACGTTCCATACATCTCGGATCCAAATCCCTTGTTACCTGTCTTCTCTGATTTACGCGGTCCACCCACCCCTCCTCCGCCTCCTTGCAATGCCCCCCCCTCCCCCCCCCCCCGCCCGTGCTCACTGCTCGTCCCCTGTGTACCCCCGCGATCCCGCGCCCTGCCCTTCCCTCCGTTGCGTCGCAACGCGTGGTGGGAAACACAACAGGGCTTTTCAGACGCGTATGGCGACTACTCGTCACAGCCCCAGACATGCCTCGCCTCACTGCAGGTGCGCCCCTGGATCCCTTGCTCCGCTGCTCCGCTGCTCTGCTCCTCTGCTTCCCTACTTCTCAACAATCGCATAACTCATGCTTTCCTCCGTCCCATCTCCTTCCCTGTGCTTTCGCTGCCGTTAAAGCTCACACTTCCTGCGCATGTCACCCCTCTTGTGTCTCATCTGGCGTCCCCCACTATTTCTCCCCCGCCCTCCCTCTCTTTCCCACTCTCTCCCTTACCCTCCCCGTCCCTTTCTCTCTCCCTCCCTCTCCCCTTCCCCTTCTCCCTCCCTCCCGCTTTCTCCCTCTCCCTTCCCTCCTCTCTCCCCTTCGCTTTCTCCCTCTCCCTTCCCTCCTCTTTCTCCCTCTCCCTTCCCTCCTCTCTCCCCCTCGCTTCCTCCCTCTTCCCCCGTGCGCCACAGGGCTCGTGGGCCTTCTGTCTGTTTGACGACGCCAGTCAGTACGTCCTGGCTGCCAGGGACCCCCACCACGGCGCACCACTCTTCTGGGCCTCCGTGCAGCAAGGTGTGTGTGTCTTTGCCGTCGCCCGTCTCCCGTTAGGCTCTTACCTTCGGAGAATTTTGGATCGAATCTCGAATCTCTTGGGCCTCCGTGCAGCAAGGTGTGTGTGTGTGTGTGTGCGCCATCTCCCGTCTCCCGTCTCTCGTTAGGCTCTAACCTTTGGGGGTGTACCTCCCGAATTCGTTCAACCTATGGAGCAGCTGCCTTGAAGCTGCTGCTACTCGTGTTTCTGCAGTTGTATGTGCGCTCCAAACGGCAAATTGCAACCCACGGCCGCTAGCTCTCCTCCTTCACGTGCGGTTTCTCCTTGGATATTCTCCCCACCTGTCCCTCTCCCTGCACATGTCTCACTTGGCCCTCCCCTCCTCCTCTCCCTGCATACCCCCTTCCGTTCCTCCCCTCCCACCCTCTCTCCCCTTCCCTCCGTTCACCCTCCTACCACACCATCAGCCGACCTGCTCTTCTGCACGTGGAGCGCTGCACCCACTGCACCCACTGCAGATGCTGCCGATGCTGCTGCTACTGCCACCCCTGACGCTCCTGCTGCCCCAGATGCTCCTGCGGCTGCGCTCCCTCCCCCGCCTCCACTTGCCACTGCTGCTGCGCGTGGCCTAGAGCTCCGCGAGTTCCCAGCAGGGTTCTTCTACGAGAAGAAGTGGGATGAGACCATCGGCTCCTTGCACAGGTACGCACGACTAACCCCACCTGGGTTTTGAGACGTCTCACAAACCCCATCTGGGTTTTGAAAGGAATCCTTGAGTTGCGGTGAACCGCTTTACGTGGACTCAAACCCATCTGCTCCGAGCTTGAGATTGAAATGTGTGCCTCTTCTCTGCGGCAGTGGAAAACTGGTGTTCCCCCCTGCGGCTGCTGTGCTAGGAGCTGGTATGCTTCTTTATAGTGGCACCGCCCTTCTCACCGTTCTCCTCTGCACGTCCTCATGCTCTCCTGCATAGCCCGTCCATCCGCCCATTCACTGCACTGGAGCAGCTTTCATGCATAGATGGGCGTGAACATGCGCGTTTCGATCTAGTTTTTTTGGACGCGAAACAAACCTTTCTGCTTCTCGTTCTGTCTTGCCCATCCATCTGCCCTTCCCGCCATCCCCCCCCACCCCCTCTGAGCAGCTACATGGAAGGGGAGGAGACGGAGGAGATGGAAGTGGGCGTGCCCATGCCCTGTGGTACCATGTTCAGGGTTAGCAGGTGAGGATGCTCCCACTCATATCACACCCATGCCATGCTGTTCCCTGCCATGGCATGTGATGCGCTGTTGTATGCTCTGTTTAATGCTCTGTCATGCCATGCTGTGCTGAGCAGTTGTGTGCTGAATTCTCTTGTTGGTGTCCTTTTCAAAGCTCCTACAGTGCTCATTTTCTCTCTGTGTGACTTACTCTCACGTATAATGTTTGCAGTGGGAGCGACCTGGCAGGACCCAAGCCAGGAAGTTTCGCCATGTGAAGTACACTACAATTGCTGGCAAGAAAAGGATTGGCCCTGCTTCGCAGGCCAGTGCATTTTTTTCATCTTGTTCATCTTGTATATTTCTTCTGTCCTTAGCAGCTTTGGCTACTGATTGCGCAGAGATTCTCATTACCTTGGACATTTAAGGCTGGCTATGTTTCATAACGTGCTTTGTACGCGCAAGAGGGAAACATTCAACGCAGTGCTTACTATTGTGTTTTGTTAGTGGCTGGGATGTGGGGTCTATCTTGATTCAAGCAAGTCTGTACAGAGCTGATGTTTTCAAGTAGTGAAAAGTTTGGTCAAATATTTCTTTCCTTATTTGTAACTGGAATTATAGTGAACTTATATTTCTGCGAGATGTATAAGTGGTTTGTGTTACGATCTACACGTCGAACGACTCAGTGGCTCAGCCGATCCTCCTTCCAGTTCACCTAAACCCGATATACCTTGGGTCAGGGCCACGTCAGCGTTTAGAAGCTGGGTCATAGCAGATAGACCTAACAGAGACACGTCATCGTAGGAGAAAGAAATCGCAGCAATTAGCCCTAACAGAGAATAGCTTTCCCCGATCCTATCGGTTGTAACCTGTGCATCCGACGCGCGTTTTCCTGCATCTCCTGCGTGTCTCACTCACTCGATCGCGACGCCTGGTCCTACAGCCTGCAACATTTTGTTCTCTAGCGGGAATAAGAGCACAGACAGCTCCTCCGAGCCCTCTTCCTTCGCCTGCGTCTAATCATTTACTTGCAACCCACTTCAGGACTTGCATTGTGCTTCAAACCCCCGTTATAGCGTTATAGCGTTTCGACCGCCAGTGCGCGCACGTAGGAGCCGCGCATCGAAGAATGTTCCCCGGCGCCGCAGATGCCGGCGCGGCATCAACGCTCGTTCCCACGAGCTTCGTGTGGCCGCATGGGGGGCGACACGTGCATTTATGCGGGTCGTTTACACGGTACGTGGATGTTTCGCTCTTAAAGCGAGCGAGTTTTGAGTCGACTCTACGTAGTATGTTTAACTCTTGGAGGTACCGGTGACCAAAGACGAAGCGTTAATGCACGGAAGAGGCGTTATGGCTATAAGGCAGCAGAAAACGAGGCGTTACGGTAATTGCAAGGTTTCGGCGCGTGCAGGCAACGAAACGGCTCTAGTTTCTGGTGGGTTCCGTTCAAATCAGCATCATGCGAACAACGGGGGAAGCAGTCTTATAACGTCTGCCTCTGGAATGTGCCTCGATACGACTACTTTCAAAAGTCCGGAATAGCGTCTGGAAACGCGACGGAATAGCGTCAGGAGAATGTGCCTATGCTGACGGTAGGACACGTGGTCACGGAACTGCGACTCCTGGCGTCGTCATTATCTAGGCTTCCGTTTTCGAATCACCCGTCGTCCCGACTCCCGCCACGTAATCCCGTCCCCTCGTTCTCTGCTGACTTTCTTTGTCACATTGGCTTTACGAGCCCGTTGCGACTTGTAAGCACCTGGTAGCCGCGCGCCTCGGCCGGAACTGGTCAAGCTAAGGAGAGTGGCTACTCGGTATCGAATAGGGTACTAAAGACTCGGCTAGGTTAGGCGGTCATGACTAGGCTACTCGTACCTAGCTTCTAGATTCGCCTGGATTGCTGCAACGAAAGCTGTGCAATCACCCTGGCCGAGTGCGTTGCCGTTGTCTGTTTCTTACCTTCTTGTGTCCTAGTAACATCTAATGATTGCACGTATTGCGGTGTATGGCACCGCAGAGCGCTCCTCAGCCATTATGGCAGCTCGCATATGGCTTCGCAGCAATTCAGTTCTAAACACTCAGCTACACTGCTTAACGGCTATACAGTTTCGCAACCATACACAGCACGCGCGCACGGAACGGAAGTCCGCGTGTCGCCCTGTGCCCAGCAGTCCGCATCAAGTCCGCCATGCCTAGACCAGCCCAGCTCGGGGTTCCGCCAAGCGCTGAGCAGTTAGAGAGCTCCGCTGCGCGTGGACGCTCCCTTGACGTGTCTGGTTGTGACGGGTCTGACGGGAACGAGTTTTTTTCCTGACGGGCTTGCCTGTGGCACTGCGTTCTTGTTGATTCGCTGCTGGCTTCCTCTCCTCGTCGTCTGCTCCCCTCGTCTATTTATTTCTTCACTCTCCCGCGCCTCTTTCTTCACTCTCCCGCGCCTCTTTCTTCACTCTCCCGCGCCTCTTTCTTCACTCTCCCGCGCCTCTTCACTCTCCCGCGCCTCCACTCGCCGCTCACCTCCCCTCCCTTCCCCCGTCTCCCCGTCCTCGGATTCTGCCTCTTCTCCTCTTCATCCTTCTTCTCCCTCCTCGCAATGCATTCATCTTCTGCTCCTTGCTTCCATGCTCTGCTGCTGCTGCTGCTGCTGCTGCTGCTGCTGCTGCTGCTGCGGATGCTACCGCCTCCACTCTCCTCCTCCTCCGCCTGCTGCTGCTACCGCCTTCGCTGTCGCTGCTGCTGCTGCAACGGCAGGTGGCAGGAGACTTTACCTATGGCGCCTGTTGAGGGTTCGAGTTCCATCTTCGCCGTCGTCTGGAACCTGCCTCCTGGTTACCACCAGGTATACTCATTCCCCCTCATCTGCAGGTATCCTGCAACTTCTATCATTACAACCCCCCTCTCCCACCTCCCCCAACCCCCAAACCAACCCCATCCCCCACCCGCCCACCTCCCCCCAAAACCTCCCACCCCCTCTCACGCCTGACATGCTGCTACTTGTTCCGCACTGTACTCTGTCTCTGTCTTTCTTCCTCGCAACACACCCTTCGTTCCGCCTCCATTGCTGCCTCTTCTCTCTCCTCTCCTGGCCCCCCACTATTCTTCCTCCCTTTCCCCTCCTCCCTCCCCCACTCTGCCTTATCTCCCTGTTTACTCTCTTCCTATCCCCTTCCTCACCCCCAACACCCCCCATCTCCCCGCTTCTAACCCTTACTTCCCATCTATCCTCTTCCTCACACCCTCTCCGCACCCTCATCTCCCCTTTTCTAAACCTTTCTCTTCCCACCCCTCCAACTCCCACCTCCCTCCTCCTTTGCCTCCTTTCCCCCCCTCACTTCCTCACCCCGCCCTCCTCACTCCTTCCTCCGCCAGTATAAATTCATTGTAGACGGAGAGTGGCGGCACGATGAATCCCAGCCGTTCATGCCCGATCCCCTCGGCAACGTCAACAACTGGCTACTCGTGCGTGATTCCGACCCCAACGCCCATCTCACCACCCCCTCATCCGCCGCTGCTGCCACTGCCGCCTCTCCTGCCGCCACCGGACCTGCCGGCTTGGCCGGACCTGCGCCAGGCGCGGGAGAGCGTGGCGGGGTGGGGGAAGCGGGTGCGGGAGGGGGAGGTGGGGGAGGAGGGGGGACGGGCGGAGGAGGCGGGGGAGGAGGGGGTGTTGTGGGCGGGGTGGGGTTTGGGATAGGAGTGGGCGCACATATGGATGTTGATGGGGTAGAGGTCACAACATCACACCCACAGCACCATCTCTTGACAGGAGCAGGGCACCAGCATCACCACCACCCAGGCGCTGGGGCAGCAGGGGGGGGAGGAGGTGCGGGAGCAGGTGGAGGAGGAGGGGGGCACTCGCACCAGCACTCACACTCGCACAGTCACGCGCACCATGGGATTGGGCTCGGTCCGTCAGCAGTGACAGCATCCCAGCACACCTCCGCACACATAGACTCGCATAGTCACTCCCAGCAAGCTGCCTCGCAGGCAGCGCAGCAGCAGGGGGGCGCGGGCGGGGGCGGGGTGGGGGGGCTAGTCGGGGGGGAACCGGGGAGAATGGTGACCGGGGCGATGGTAGCAGGGGGGGTGGCGGGGGCGGGGGCGGGGGGAGCGGCGGTTGGGGGGTTGGGGGGAGCGGGGCTGGTGCTGGCGGATTCGATGGGGGCGGTATCAGCAGCGGATGCGGAGTCGTCTCGGCAGCGGTTTGTGGACTTTCTGCAGCGGCACAAGGCGTATGAGCTGCTGCCCGAGTCAGGCAAGGTGCGTGTGCGTAGACGACTTTTGCGTGTGCGTGTGGTGTGGTGCGGTGTGGTGCGGTGTGGCTGACAGTCAGTGTGCAGTACGTCACTCCTGCTCGATGTTCTCCTTATGAGATTTTTTTGTCGCAATCGCGTTCAGCACTCCTGGTTCTCCGGCTTGTCTTGTGGATAGTGCATTCCTTGGGTGTGCACGTTTGGTGTGGAGGATTGACGAGGCAAGGCAGTGAGGGCCAGCAGGGGCCAGCAGGGACCAGCAGGGAAGAAGGGAAGGGGAGCAATGGGTGGGTGGTGGCCTGATTCTTTGACCAAAGTAGTGGTCTAGGCGGTTAGTGCTTGCTCTCCCTTGTTATCCCACGTGCATCCCTCACACAACGCCGGTGGCAGGTGGTGGCACTAGACGTGGCCCTGCCAGTCAAGCAGGCCTTTTGAGGCGCCTCAAATGTGCTTGCTCTCCCTTGTTATCCCACGTGCATCCCTCACACAACGCCGGTGGCAGGTGGTGGCACTAGACGTGGCCCTGCCAGTCAAGCAGGCCTTCCACGCCCTCTACGAACAGGTGGGCTTGCTCTGCACCCATCCCTACCCATCCACGCCCATCCCCAACCACCCGCACCCAATCCCACCATCCCATGCCCATTTGATTCCACCCATGCCCTTGCCATGTCCGCCCGTGCCCAGTCCGTGCTGTCCATGCACCCATCTCTCTATTTTTACATGCGTGCCATGAACCCGGTTGCCATGCCATTCCACGAAATCAAACATTTTACGCCAATTCTCTTTTGCAACTGTTGTCAGGCATCCCATTCCCTCCTTCCCTCCTTCCCTCCTTCCCTCTTTCCCTTCCCTTGCCTTTCATCCTGGCTTCTCCAGCGCCATTCCCTCCCTTCACATCCCCCCCGCCTGTCCCTCCCCATCCCCACCGCCAATCACTCCCCACCCCACCCCCGCCCTCTGTGCATGTGTGCGCGTGTGCGCCTGTGTGCCTGCGTGCGTGTGTGTGCGTGCGTGTGTGTGTGTGTGTGTGTGTGTGCATGTGCATGTGGAGCACAGGGCGTGCCAGCAGCGCCGCTGTGGGACTCAGAGAGGCAGGAGTTCGTGGGCATGCTCAGCGCATCTGACTTCATCTCCATCCTCACGCAGGTGAGTTGACTTTTGAGTTGACTCATAAGTCAACTAGTAGCGCCGCTGTGGGACTCAGAGACGCAGGAGTTTGTGGCATGCTCAGCGCCTCTGACTTCATCTCCATCCTCACGCAGGTCTCCTCCGCCTCCTCCCTTTCACACAGCTCACTCTGCTCCCTTCCTCTCACGCAAGGCCCTCTGGTCGCTTGCTCTTGCTGGATTGCGCTGCTCAAGTCTAAAGCACATGTGTTCTGCCACTTGCTCTGGCACATTAGCGTGCACGTGCACATGGCATATGCATGGATGGAGCTGAATGCATGGATGGAGTCATTGTTTTCCCCCCTTCCCGCCCTCCCCCACACCCCCGTTCCATGCCCGCCTTTGTGCAAGCGCAATTGCACTGCAATGCGCGGCGTTGAGTGAGGAGCAGCAGTAGACGCGCTTTGGCACGTCCTCAAACCCTTTTCTTCCCTGTCCCACACCCTGATTCCTTACCCTCATGCGCACACGCCACACAGCTGCACTGCAACAGTGCGTCGCTGAGGGAGGACGAGCTGGAGACGCGCTTTTAGACGTCCCCAAACCCCTGTCTCTTCCACACCCCCCTTCCCTGTTTGCCCACGTTCATCCACACACAGCTGCACTGCAACAGTGCGTCGCTGAGTGAGGAGGAGCTGGAGACGCACACCATAGCTGCGTGGAAGGAGGAAAAGCTCGCTCTCGCCACGCCCCTCGACGCCCCCCACACGCCTGCACGCCGCCCCCTTATCTATGTGCGTGCATGCTCTCTGCCCTGCCCTTCCCTTCCTTCTCATACCCTTTCGTGCCCTCTCATAAGCCCTGTCATGCCTTGTGTTGCTGCCATTCCTGCAGCTCTCACATTGCTTTCGTTGCATTCAAACGTTTTTGCACAGTGCTTTTGTGCATGCATTCTTTTGCTGACATTCCCCACACCCTCTTCCCATCCCCCTCATCCCTTCCAAATTTCCTCACTCCGTCTCCATTCCACCTCTCATCCCCCTCCCTCCTCTAGCCAGTTTCAAACGCTGACCCTCACAACCCCCCTTATCTCTTTCACTCTCCCCCCCCTCCTTTCGTTCCACCCCTCATCTCACCCCGTCCTCATAATCCAGGTTGGACCGGACGAGACACTGAGGAAGGTAGCGGAGGTGCTTTTAACGAGGGGTCTCGCCATGGTTCCTGTGCTCTACTACCCCGAAGCCCGCACCTCCTCCTCTGCTGCTGCTGCTGCCGCTGCCAATGCCGCATCCGCCTCTGTAGCAGAAGCGCCGCCGCCACCACAGCTGCTGCACCTGGCATCACTGGCAGGCATTCTCAAATGTATCTCCTGCTCCATTTCTCCTGCCCGCCCTCCCTCCCTCCCTCCCCCCCTCCATCCCGCCTGCCCTCCCTCCCGCCCTCCCTTCCTTTCCTCTCTCCTGTCCTCCTGTATCCGCTCCACCCTTTGGTTTCTCAGCCTGAATTCCCCCTGCTACTTGTTTCTTCTCGGTCCTGCCGTGTTTCTGCTATTGTTGATTTGGATTTCTCTACTTGCTTTCTACTTTTAAGGTGTCGGGTTCTTAACCGTAAAGCTGTAAAACCCCTCCTCACTGTACTCTGCTTCTCTGCGGTATACCATCCACTCTTCCCCTGCCCCCCCCACAATCTCTCTCTCCAGGCGTGGCAAAGCACTTCCGGCACGTGGCAGGGTCTTTACCGCTGCTCTCACAGCCGCTGGGAGCGCTACCCATAGGCACGTGGGCGCCAGAGAGTGGCCGCCCCAACACGCGCCCCATTGTCGTGCTGCAGACGTCCATGTCCCTCTTTGCTGCGCTCTCGCTGCTGCTGCAAGGTGTGTGTGATATTAAGGGCGTATCTTTGGTTCGGGTCATAAGGCACTGTTTGGGTCATCAGTACACTTTGGGTCATGGGAGGTCCAATGGTATTCGAGTAGTGTAACTAAAATGCGCCTGATTGGTCTTCCAAGAATCTCGGATGACCCAAACAGTGCATGACCCGAACCAAAGATACGCCCTAAGTCGAGTTTAGATCGACTCAAAACACGCGCCCCGTTGTCGTGCTTCGGACGTCCATGTCTCTCTTTGCCGCGCTCTCGCTGCTCTTGCAAGGTGCCTGCCTCCTTACCCCCTCCTGCCACCACTGCTGCTGCTGCTTGCGCTTTACCCAGTCGTTGCTGCTTGCTCCTTGCCGTTTCACATCACCAGTTGTTTATAATCTCCTCATCCTCCCAGTGCCCTTCCTTCTCCTCCTCCTTTCTCCCCTTCTCTCCCCGCCTCCCCTTCCCTCTCCCCCCTCGCCTACCCCTCGCCTCCCCTGGTCCCATCACCTTGGCCTGCCATGGGACACACACCAGCGGGAGTGTCGTCTCTACCAGTGGTGGACGAGAGCGGGGCTCTTATTGACATCTACGCGCGAAGGTGATTGCCCTGTACTGCAGCACCACCTCGCCCCCCCCCCCCCCCCCCTCCCCCCCCCCTCCCTCCCTCCCTCCCTCCCTCCCTCCCTCCCTCCCTCCCTCCCTCCCTCCCTCCCTCCCTCCCTCCCTCCTTCCTACCCGCACTCCCATTGTCCTGCTGCACCTGATTTCTTTGAGGTGGTTCTGACGAGCTGTGATGCTTCGTCCCGCCCGTCCCCCTTGCTGTCGCTGAATCAAGCTAGAGTGCAATCCCACCCTTGTGCCTTCTTTCTTTCTTCACCTGCCCCCTCTACCCCATATACCTGCTCTACCCCCTCTACCTCTTCAAACCCTTTTGCCCTGATCTAACACTTCATCTTCCTCCACTGCATGTTGCCTGCATCCTCCTTCCTTTGACCTCATTCCATCACCTCAGGCTGTATGCTGTCTTGTACCCCAGTCGTTCCCCCCCCCTTGTTCTTCCACCGAGTCGTATGCGCCAGCCTCACTCCTTTTTTATCCGACCCCTGTATGCTCACTTGTATGTTGCTACTCCTGCCCTCCGTGTGTGTGTGGATGTGTGCGTGTGCGTGTGCGTGTGTGCATGTGTGCATGTGTGCATGTGTGCATGTGTGCATGTGTGCATGTGTGCATGTGTGCATGTGTGCATGTGTGCATGTGTGTGCATGTGTGCATGTATGCATGTATGCATGTGTCCATGTGTGCATGTGTCCATGTGTCCATGTGTCCATGTGTGCATGTGTGCATGTGTGTGCATGTGTGTGCATGTATGCATGTATGCATGTGTCCATGTGTGCATGTGTGCATGTGTGCATGTGTGCATGTGTGCATGTGTGCATGTGTGCATGTGTGCATGTGTGCCCATGAGCACAGTGACATCACAACGCTAGCCAAGGATCATATGTATGCGCGGCTCAACATCGATGAGTTCACTGTCGGCCAGGTGGGACATCGTCCTCCCTGCTCCCTGCATTGCCATGCCTCGAATGTTCTGAGAACCCTGCCGCTCTTAGTTGATCCCTGCCGCTCTTAGTTGATCCCTGCTGCTCTTAGCTGATGCCTGTTGTTCTTTGTTCTTTGCTACGTAACCATTTGACTAGTGTGCCTTTGTAACCCACTCACGACCCCCCTTACATCCCCCAACCCCACCCCACCTCTTCCTACCTACCTTCATGTTCCCTTTCCAAATTATCTTTCCACCTGCTTCCTTACCTCCACTCCCCCTTCGCCTCCATGTGACTCCTCCCCCAAATCTCTAATACTGTTCTGGCTGCAAGAGTTGGCCAAGGGTTGGCTACAAGCTGCAATCTTTTTGGCCAACTCACAATGCGCACCTTCTGCTCCACATCCCGTCCTAACCTCCTCTGCTGCCACACCTCACCTCCTTCCCTACCTCCTCTGCTGCCCTTCCTCTCGCCCGTGGCAGGCCCTGCAATACCGGCAGGACGCAGGGGCGGTGGGGGCGGCAGCAGCGGGTGGGACGCGGTGTCACATGTGCCTGCAGTCCGACAGCCTACGAGTCGTGGTGGAGCGACTCGCCATGCCAGGTGCGGTGCTGGGAGGGTGGCGTGCTGGGAGGGTGGCGTGCTGGGAGGGTGGCGTGCTGGGAGGGTGGCGTGCTGGGAGGGTGGCGTGCTGGGAGGGTGGCGTGTTGGGAGGGGATGTGATGGGTGTTGTATGCTGGGTGGATATTATGGTGGGTGAGGTGATGGGTCATGTCATGCGGCCTGTTGTTGCATGCTTAAGCTGCATCCCCGTTCCTCTCTCCCCCCTCCCTCTCTCTGCCTTGCCACATGCAGGGGTGCGCCGGCTTGTGTGTGTGGAGGCGGGCAGTCGGAGAATCCAAGGAATCGTCTCCCTCAGCGATCTCTTCCACTTCCTCCTCTCTTAACCCCTCTTGAGAATCCACGGAATCGGCCCCCTTACCAATCTCCTCCATTTCCTCCTCTTCGGCCCGTCTCTCCCCATCCTCCGCACTCCACTCGCATCCTCCCATGCTCTCCTAGTCCCCTCGCATCCTAGTGACCTAGTCCCCTCTCCTCCCACACTCTACATTCCACTTTCCACGTTCCACTTTCCTCATGCCACAACCGCATTCCACACCCCACACACATCCTCCATATCATCAGTACCATCATCAAGCGACTCCGCTCCTTTCACCCACCCATCGCATCATACGATCAGTTCAATAATCTACCGTTTCAGGCCTTCCATTCCTGGCCTGTGACATGCCGCGCCGTGCCATGTCGTGCCTGCTCATCTGCAAATTTTATTCAAGCCCACTAAGGTTGTACTACCATCCAACAACTTTTCATGACCAGTTACCGGCTTTTGCCAATCAGAGCAGCTTCTATGCACAGCCCACTTTTGCCACAGAAAGAGCAGTGCCTTGAGCTGCTACGGTATTGCCATGTATCTGGTGGTTTGAGTCAGCTTGTGCTAACTAGTTATGATTTTCGGTTTTTATGACATGGTACAGTTGACATCAAACATAAGCGTAACATTGGGATTAGGGCATGTCCAGCGCGTACATTTACAGCTCATCTGGCGCTACAGTTACCACGTTTTTTAAATGTAACCATGTTTTTACAGTATTTTTGGACGCGGGCACCTACGATACGTGCAACCAGTCACAGGCCACACGTGCGCCAAATCGTTAACATGACGCGAAAAGCACGTACGGTAACAAACCCCAAAATCAAACTTGCACGTGTCTGATTTGCAACAATACCGGTTCAACGAAGGCAAGAATGAATTTCGCAAGAATCTGTGACGGCTAGCGAAATTTTAGTTACAGAGTAGTGCTGTCGCCACTGTCGCCCACCTTGATGTTAGATTTGTGTTGGGGGGCGAATCGTGTCTTCCCCCGCCTTTTTGGACGCGAAACTCAAAGGCCACACCTAGCGGTACTATTTCTACTCGTGATCCCAAATACGTTAAATATATGTAAAAACCCGAAAGTGTACGCGCTGGACACGTCCTTAATGTTCGATATGTAGGCTGACAAAGGCGATTGCACCGTTGGGAGACAGACAACACTATGCAAGCACACATACTGCATCAACATTTTCTGCACTACTTCAGAAAGACAATATGCACTTGCACTGTGGGAGCGAAATCCCTTGTCCAGTAGAAATTGCACACATCAGGCATGAAACATGCCCTACACCAATTTGATGGCACGCACATGATGTAACATGTTACAAGACCCAATTACTGATCAACAAATTCAACAGCAGTGCCTGCGTATCCTGCTTGGGTACTGCCAGTCCTGGAACACTATAGGAATACACAATAAAGAGTACAACTCTCCAGCTATCACATGGTTGCCCTCCCAGCCCCACTCGCGCCTCACCGCACTGAACCGCACTGCACTACCCACATCTCGTCACATCACAACCCTTCACTCTCATCCACCCCAAAGTTCAAATGCGCATTGTCTGCGGGCGGGAGCGCCCCTCCCAACCCTCCCCCCGGCAGACCCCCCATCATCGCCCCACCCATCACACCCCCCATCATGCCTCCAAGCATAGACCCTGGTGCTCCCACCACCGAAGCCGGTCCCCCCGTAGCCCCCAACGTGTACAACCCAGGCTGGGGGCCTAGAAGAGCAGCTGTGGCAGCGTGTGACGGCTGGTGCTGGGGCGGGAGTGTGTGGAGCGGGGCAGCGGAGGCGGTGGGGACCGAGGTGGAGGAGGAGAGGGGCGGGGGGATGGTGGAGGGCATGGAGGGCGCGTTGGCGAGCCCGCGCAGCATCTTGATGACCTCGCTGGTGTCGTCCAGGTAGTAGCGCGCCTTGCTCGGCTTCTGCCCCACCTGTTGGTGCCCAGGGAGAGGCGTGCAGGGGGAGGGCAGGAGCGGAGGGGAAGGGCGGGAGGGGAGGAGGGAGGGGAGGGGGGAAGGAGACGGGATGGAATGGGAAGGGAGGGGAGGGGAGGGGAGGGGAGGGGAGGGGAGGGGAGGGGAGGGGAGGGGAGGGGAGGGTGGCTGTGGTGTGGTGTAGTGTGGTGTGGTGTGGTGTGGTGTGGTGTGCATGCAGCTGAGTGTGGGAACAACAGCATGGAGAGAGGCACAGGAGCGGGAGAGTGGACTGGGGGAAAGGCAGGCAGGAGAAGAACATCAGCGCAAAACGCATGAGAGGGTGGAGAAGAACGGAAAGCTAAGGGAGGGGAAAAATAGGGCATAGGAAGAAGGATGCGGGAAACCAACAGAGTAGGGCACAGGGAGAGCGGGAGTGCAGTCCTTACAGTGCAGGCGAAGACTTCAGCGAGGGGTGTGGGCGAGGGGGCGGTGGTCATGATGGCGTTGATGCGCTCAAACATGTCTTCGTCCGACCGGTCGTCGCCCACACACAGCACAAAGTCCGGTGCCGCCTTGCCTGCCCCCTTGGACGCCCTCAGCAGCTGCTCCACCACCAACCCCTTGCTCACTCCCTGAGAGGGAGGCGGGGGGAGGGAGGGGTAGGCAGGGGGGCAGGGACGGCAGAGGGGTGCAGGGGGAGGGGAGGGTGGGGGGAGGCAAGCGCGGCAGGGGGGGAGAGGGGGAGGCAGGTTGAGATGGAGGAGCGGGAAAGTTTGGGGAGGGGGGAAGCGGAAAAGGATGGAGGGAGAGGAGGGGGATGTGGGGGTGGGAGACGCAAGCACTGGAGGGCGAGGACAGGCCCCCAGCAGACATGCAACCAGCCCGTCACCCGCCCTCCACTCCCAGCAGCTACCCCATAAACAGACACACTCACTCACACTCCCCTTCCCTCATGCCCCGTCCGATCCTTCTCTCCCTTCCCCTCCCCCCCTCAACCCCATACCTGCGGCTTGATCTCGACAATATGATGCCCACCCTTCACCACCACGGGCTCATTAGCCAGCACGCTCTCCAGGTGGTCCAGCAGCTCCTTGGCCTGCCCTTCCCCCCCCCTCTTTCCCCGCCAACCCCTCTCTCCCCCCCAAATTCCCTCACCTGCGGCTTGATCTCCACGATATGATGCCCGCCCTTGACCACCACCGGCTCATTAGCCAGCACGCTCTCCAGGTGGTCCAGCAGCTCCTTGGCCTGCCCTTCCCCCCCCCTCTTTCCCCGCCAACCCCTCTCTCCCCCCCAAATTCCCTCACCTGCGGCTTGATCTCCACGATATGATGCCCGCCCTTGACCACCACCGGCTCATTAGCCAGCACGCTCTCCAGGTGGTCCAGCAGCTCCTTGGCCTGCCACGACCCAAAGTCGGGGTCCGCGTCGCGGTGGTGCCACACGAGCGCGCTCTCCTTGGTCTCGATGTACGAACCATCGGTGGATTCCGTGTAGAGCTCCAGGACTGGGAGGGCCGCGTCCTTCCACGTGGCGTCCTGCTGCGCGATTGTCGTTTGCCAGGGGGCCGACCGGCTCCAGCTGAAAGGAATGAGGGAGGAGGGGGGAAGACGGGGACGAAGGGGCGTAGGGGCGTAGGGGCGTAGGGGAAGAAAGGGGCCATAGAGGGGGAAGGGAAGTGGGGGAGGCAGGGGGGGTGAGGGGCCGGGGAAGCAGGGGGGAATGAGGAGAGGCGGTGGTGCCATGCCACACGAGCGCGCTCTCCTTGGACTCGACGTACGACCCGTCGGTGGATTCCGTGTAGAGCTCCAGCACTGGGAGGGCCGCGCCCTTCCACGTGGCGTCCTGCTGCGCGATTGTTGTCTGCCAGGGGGCCGACCTGCTTCAGCTGATGGGAGGGAGGCGCGGGGGGAAGGAAGGGCGTTGGTGGGAGGGAGAAAGGGGCCATAGAGAGGAGAGGGCGCGGGTGGAAGGGGGAGGCGGGAAGGGGGAAGAGAGGAAAAGAAAGGGGGGAGGAGCGGGGAGAAAGAAAGGTGATGGAGAGAGTGGGGTCGTTCCATGTTGTGCCCTACTGTGCGGTTGTGGTCAGCCATGGGGCAGGGCAGACCGTTCCAGCTGATAAGAGAGGAGAGAGACGGCACGGGGTGGGGTGGGACACAGAAAGTGGAGGGTGTTGGGTGCGGATGGTGGGTGTTGGGGGAGGAGGGCGGAGAAGGCGGGGCGGAGAGAAAAGGAAGGAGAGAGTGGAGAGATGGTGCTACAAGTCAATGGCTGCTCCACCCCAGCACCTCCCCAAAGCACCACCCCCAGCACCCCCGCAGTGGCTCCCAGCACCCCCCAAGCCTAGCCGCAGGCGCACCTGACGAAGAAGCCGTGCTCAGCCGCGAGGCCGAGGCGCGGGCAGGTGTGGAACCATGCCGAATGTGCTGTGAGTGGACTCACTCTTTCACTCTTGAGGCAGAGGCGAGGGCGCACGCACGCACGCACACACACACGCACCTGACAAAGAAGCTGTGCATGGCAGCAAGGCCCAGGCGCGGGCAGCAGTGGAACCAGGCCGAATGTGCTGTGAGTGGACTCACTCCTGAGGCAGAGGCGTGGGCGCACACACACGCACCTGACGAAGAAGCCGTGCTCAGCAGCAAGGCCCAGGCGCGGGCAGGTGTGGAACCAGGCCTCGAGGTTCTCTCAACGGGGCCTAGTGTGGTTTGATTGAGTCGATTCAAAACACGTCTAACAGCCCCAGCCCCAGGCACAGGCGTGAGCGCACCTGACGAAGAAGCCGTGCTCAGCCGCGAGGCCAAGGCGCGGGCAGGTGTGGAACCAGGCCTCGAGGTTCTCGCGGCGGCGGCCGCTGACGACAAAGACGGTGTTGCGCGGGTCGCTGCTCAGCCGCTGCACCACGTCCAACACGTCCTGCCCCGGGGTCTTGTTGATGGACGTCTGGTGGAGGGGGAGGGAGAGGGACAGGGGGAGGGGACAGGGGAGGGGGAGGGAGAGCGAAACGGGGATTGAGGCGCCTCAAGAATTGACAACGAACAGGGAGGGCGAGTTGGATCAGCTGCTGCAGCATGCACCCCGTCCAACGTGTCCTGCCCAGGGGTCTCGTTCATGGACGTCTGTGGGGGGAAGCGAGGCGGTGAAGCAAGGGCAGCAGGGAGAGCACGGGGTGCAGCGGGGGAGCCGGAGCAGGCAGGGTTTAAGGGGAGCAGGAGGGGCAGGGACTAAGAGGGCGGTTTATCAATGCGAATCGAGACGAGTCGAGAAGCTCAAAGTGGCTGCATGCTGCCCACAGCGCCCTGGCCTGGCTTGCCCAAATCCCGCTCAATTCTTCCCTTCCTGCCCTTTCCCCCTCCCCAAGGACCCCTTCCCTTCCCACCATTCCACCCCCACCCCCATGCCACATCTGCGGCATCATGGTGCTATCATAGTCGAGCAGGATGAGGCGGGACAGGTAGGATGAGGAGCAGGATGAGACGTCTCAAAAGCGCACGAGCAGGTCTGTCCCCTCCCTTCCCCCTCGGTCCCCCCCCCCCATCCCCCCTGCACCCCTCCCCCCCTCCCCCCACCTGTGGCATCATGGTGCCGTCATAGTCCAGCAGGATGAGGCGCGACTGCGCGCGCCGGTAGGAGCGCACGAGCAGGTCCGTCCCCTCGCTTCCCCCTCGTCCCCCCTCTCCCCCCCCCCAAATCCTCCCCCCCCTCACCTCCAGCAGGATGAGGCGCGACTGCGCGCGCTGGTAGGAGCGCACGAGCAGGCCGGTCCCTTCCCTCCCCCTCGCTCCCCAAATCCCCCCCCCCCCCCCCCCCCCCCCTTCACCTGCGGCATCATGGTGCCGTCGTAGTCGAGCAGGATGAGGCGCGACTGTGCGCGCTGGTAGGAGCGCACGAGCAGGTCGGTCTGCAGCTTGCGGAAGTTGGGGTCCAGCGCCACTGTGCGGAAGCCCAGCCCGAAGCCGATGCCGTAGCAGCACAGGTGGCTGTGCTCCCTGGGAGAGGGCAGGCCGGGGAGGGGAGGGGGGAGAGGTGGGGGGGAGGAGAGATGGAAAGGGAGGGCGTGGTGAGTGAGTCGGGCCACTGTGCGGAAGCCCAGCCCAAAGCCGATGCCGTAGCAGCACAGGTGGCTGTGCTCCCTGTGAGAGGGCAGGCCGGGGCGGAGGGAGGGAGAGGACGGCCGGGGGAGAGAGGAGGGGAACGGGGGAGAGGACGAGAGGGGGGGATGGGAGGGAGAAGGGAGGGAAATGGAGGGTGTGGTGAGAGAGTAGCGGGGCGCGGCAGGGGGTTGTGGGGAGAGCGAACGAGCAGGTCGGTGTGCAGCTTGCGGAAGCCAAGCTCGTAGCAGCACAGGTGGCTGTGCTCCCTGGGAAAAGAGAAGCCGGGAACAGGGGGCGGCGGAGGGAGAGGTGGAGGGGAGGACGAGGGGAGGGGTGGGAGGAAGGGGAGAGGGAAAGGGAGGGTGTGGTGAAGGAGAAGCGGGTGTGGCATGAGGGGAAGGGGACTGCAATGAAGGCTTTCAGGGCGGTCTTGTGAGAACACAATGCAGTCACAGGGGGAAGGGGAGAGTGCTGACAAGCAAGCGATCGAGAAACCCAGCTCCTCAGCAATCCAGCAACAGCAGAACCATCATCCGCCCACACGTTCTCAACTGCAAGTGCACTGGAGGTAGGAGAAAAAGAGCGCCCCCACTAATGCCCCCCCATGCAGATGCCCAACAGCCTCTCAACCGCACAGCACCCACCCACGCCTCTTCGCAACCCAGCCACAGCACCACACAGCCACAGAACCACCCAGGCAGTCACTCAGCAAGCATAGCACCCGCACCCACACCAACGCGCAGAGAGGCTGACTTTTGAGTCGACTCAAAAGTCACCTCAGCAAGCATAGCACCCGCACGCACACGCAGAGAAGGGGAGGCCCACTGACCGGCAGGTGCGCTGCAGGTCGGAGACGAAGGAGTGCGCCCAGTAGCCGACGTGGTGGTCGCGCACGTACTTGTAGTGCTTGTCATGCCGCATCTCCTGCTCCGCCTCCCCCATCGTCAACGCACTGTTCACCGCGTCCGCCACCGCCTGGGGAAGGGGGAAAGGGGAGTGGATGGGAGGGGAGGGGAGGGGTGGGGAGGGGAAGGGGAGAGGAAGGGGAGGGGAGGGGAGGGGAGGGGAGGGGAGGGGAGGGGAGGGGAGGGGAGGGGAGGGGAGGGGAGGGGAGGGGAGGGGAGGGGAGGGGAGGGGAGGGGAGGGGAGGGGAGGAGAGGAGAGGGGGGGAGGGGAGGGGAGTGGAGGGGAGGGGAGGGGAGGGAAGGGGGGGGCGGGGAGGGGAGGGGTGGGGATTCGAGAGGGATGGACGGGTTCAGGGGAAAGTGGATAGTTAGGGGTTTGGGGATGGAAAGGGGGAAAGGGAAGATTGGTGAGGGGAAGCGGAAGGGGTAAGAGGGCGTGGGGAGAGGTGGGCGGCTTTGAGCTAACATGCAAGAGCCGCCTTGCCAGCCCATTCCTCCTGCCTACTCTGAACCATTTGTGCTGCACGTGTGCTGCGCATGAATCAGTACAACCCCCCACCCCTCCCCCCTTTTCCCTCCACCCCGCACACTCAGGCACCACTTCCACGTGCACACATACGTGCATGTGTACACCACACACCTGCACATTCCAGGGGTTGATTCGAATGGCGCCACTGAGGGATGGCGAGCAGCCAATAAACTCCGAGACCACAATGGCGCTGCGCCGCTTCTTCCTGCTCTCCGCCTCGCCACCCCGCTTCGTTATGATCGCTGGCAGCGACGGCGACGGCCCCACCACAGGCCCTGTCGCGCTCTCCGCTCCTGCTCCCACTGATCCCGCTCCCGCTGCTCCTCCTGCTCCCGCTCCTGCTGCTCCTGCCCCTGCTGCTTTTGCGGATCCCGCAGGTGCCCCTGCTGTATCACCAGCAGCGCCTGCTGCTGCTGCGGCGGCACCTGAATCTGCTGCCACCCCATCGCTTGCGATGTCTACTGCCCCCGCACCCCCCGCTGCTGCTCCTCCCTCTCCTGCTGCTGCTCCTCCCTCCGCTGCTCCTGCTGTCTCTGTGTGTTTTGCCTCGTCCCCTCCTGCGTCTGCAGAGGACGCAGGAGCCTGAGCTGGAGGGTCGAGAGACGAATGCGCGTGGGAGCGATGGGTGGGCAGGGGAGGCTTGGCCCCTGACCCCTCATGTGCGCCCGTGCCAGCGCTACCAGCACCAGCAGCACCGGCAGCTACACCACCAGCAGCAGCAGCAGCGGCACCAGGGCCAAGAGCAGCAGCAGCGGTCGCAGCAGCAGGAGACGCGCGGGCAGCGGCAGAAGCAGCAACAGAGGCGGCCTGGGCAGCATCCACCCCGTGACGGCAGACGATGTACTCGTAGGGCGTGAGGTTCATGCCGTCGCGCACGGCTGTGACGACGAGGCACTCGGCCAGCGACATGAAGGCTGCGCGCTCGTACATGGGCACGTGCCGCTCCAGCAGCATCACCGGCTCGTACCCCTCTCGACCAAACTCACGGTTCACACGCCTGCCGGGAGAGAGGGCGGGAGGGTGAGGAGCGGAAGGGGTAGGGGAGGGGGCGGGGGAAGGGGGGCGGGGGAAGGGGGTCGGGGAGTAGGGGAGGAAGATGGGGGGGACGGAGGGGGGGATAGAAAGGCAACAAACGCAGTTCTAAGTCAGGGGCTGATCCAAGGACGGATGTGTGTGTGTGTGGGGGGGGGTGTCTTTCAAAGCATACAAGGTGCACAGGAGGCAGATACGGGATGAGATGGGGGAGGGAGATGCCTGAGACATGGGGAAAGGGAGGGAAAGGCATCGTAGACAGCGATCCAGTGGACTCGTATTTGACAATGCAGCAGTTTTTAAGGCGCGTCAGGCTACAGAAATGGTGTTACTTGACAATGGAGTAGATGTCGTTCTGCATGTGCTCGACCTCAGCCCCGCGGCCGCGAGCAGGGTTGGCGATCTGCACGAGCACCACCTTGCCAACCCACTCGGGGTGCTGCCGCAGCAGCTGCTCCATCGCCAGCATCTTCAGCCCTGCAAGGCCATGCCGTGACGTGGCGTGCCATGTCATGTCATGCCGTGCCATGTCATGCCGTGCCATGTCATGCCGTGCCATGTTGTGTTATGCCATGTCATGCCGTGCCATGTCATGCCGTGCCATGTTGTGTTATGCCATGTCATGCCGTGCCATGTTGTGTTATGCCATGTCATGCCGTGCCATGTTGTGTTATGCCATGTCATGCCGTGCCATGTTGTGTTATGCCATGTCATGCCGTGCCATGTTATGTTATGCCATGTCATGCCGTGCCATGTTGTGTTATGCCATGTCATGCCGTGCCATGTTGTGTTATGCCATGTCATGCCGTGCCATGTTGTGTTATGCCATGTCATGCCGGGCCATGTTGTGTTATGCCATGTCATGCCGTGCCATGTTGTGTTATGCCATGTCATGCCGTGACGTGACGTGCCGTGCCATGCCGTGTCAATGCCATGGGCGCCAGGTGCCAGCCAGGTACCCGGGGGAGGGTGTGGGAGAGAGGATATATTCTTTAGTCGACCGGCGCGACCATCGGGAAACCAAGAAGAGAAAATGGTGTTAATGGTGGTCGTGGTGGTGGAGGTGTTGATGATTATGATGACAATGAGGACAATAACAAACAACCAATGACAATCACGGAGCCACATAGATCACATAAAAACACACCACGCAAGCCCCCAGCTTCCCAGTCCCTTACCCCTCTCCCTCCCCTTACCCATCCCCAAACCCCACACCCCTTACCCCCCACCCAATCCCCCCCCCCCTCCCCCCCCTGAAACCCACCGATCCCCTTGAACAAGTCCATATCGTCCACGCCAAGAACAATCTTCTTCCCCTCAAACTGCGCGCGCAGCTCCCCAACCCGCCACTCCGTGTCCGCGAGACTCAGCGCCGCGTTCAACCTCCCATGTGGATCCCCACGGGCATGATCTTGATCCCAACCGTCCGCCCGTAGTAGTCGAGGCCGATGTGGCCGCGCTTGGACTCGTATTCGAGGCCCAGCATGCGCGAGCAGCAGGAGAGGAAGTGGCGCGCGTAGTCGAAGGTGTGGAAGCCGATCAGGTCCGCGTTGAGCAGCGCGCGCAGGATCTCGTCCCGCACGGGGAGCGTGCGGTAGATTTCGGAAGAGGGGAACGGGCTGGTGGGGGGGGGGACGGGGGAGGGGAGGGGGGGAGACGGGAGGGGGATGGGGTCGGGTGGGGTGGGACGGGGTGGGGATGGGAATGGGTTAGGTTGAAAAAGGTGGGTTGGGTGGGGGAGGGGCGCAGAGAGAAGCAGTGATTTTGGGGGCTGTGACAGCAGCAGGAGAGGAAGTGGCGCGCGTAGTCAAAGGTGTGGAAGCCGATCAGGTCCGCGTTGAGCAGCGCGCGCAGGATCTCGTCCCGCACGGGGAGCGTGCGGTAGATCTCAGAGGAAGGGAACGGGCTGGTGCGGGAGGGGAGACGGGAGGGGAGAAGGGAGTGGGGAGGGGAGAAGGGAGTGGGGATGGGAGAAGGGAGTGGGGATGGGGTCGGGTAGGTTTTCGGGGGGGGACTATGGGTTGGGGTGGAGTTGGGTTGGGCTGGATTGGGACAGGTGGGTTTGGGGGGACGCAGAGTAGAGCAGTGATGCTGGGGGCAGGGCAGTGAGTGCAGAGCACGGTGTAAGACCCAAGTTGGTGAAAGCAGTACATCCCAACCCCTTCACGAAAAACGTCTGGTTGGGTAGAGTGCAGCACAAGTCCATAAGAAAAGACATAACACCACAACCATTCCACTCCCACTGTCCTAGGGCCAACCCCCCCCACACGCACCCCCCCCCTCTCTCCGCTTCCCTTGCCACCCACCCACACTCTCCACTCTCTCTACACCAGCCCGCCTTCCCCCTCCCCACCCTCCTTCCCCACCCTCCCCCCTCTCCCCCCCACCCCTCCCCCGCGCACCTGTGCAGGAAGAAGCCGAGGCGCACGCGGTGGAAGCGCTTGCGCAGGAAGGTGGGGAGGACCATGAGGTGGTAGTCGTGCACCCACACGTAGTCGTCGTCCGGGCTGATCACCTCCATCACCTTGTCGCTGAATATCTTGTTCGCACTCACGTACGCCTGCCACAGCTCCCGGTCGAATAGACCGGATGAGTGGGACGGGCCCAGCGGGAGGAGGTAGTGGAAGAGCGGCCATAGCTGCTGCTTGCAGAAGCCGTGGTAGAATCTGATGGGGGAGGGGGAGCAGGGAGGAAGGGGTGGGGTGTGAAAGGGTGTGGTGGGGTGATGGAGGAGGTTGGTGGGAGATTGGGTGTGGTGGGTGGAAGGGGGGGTGGATGGAGGGTGATGGAGCAAGGGAGAGTTTTGGAAGGTTGGGAAGTGAGATGGGAAGGGGAGGGGGGAGGGGGGGGGGAGGACGGAAGTAGGAACGCGTGGAAGCAAGGAGGAGAATGGGAGGCAGCAAGGCGTGCAAAACACAAGACAGGAAAAGGATGGGGACAAATTGAGGTGGGTTCGGTGGGGAGGAGCGGGGAGGGGAGGGAAGGGTATGTGGAGAAAGGAATAAGAAGGCAAAGAGTGCAGGTTCGGGTGCAGCACAGGAGCGGGTGAGGTGACCTGGCTTTGAGGTCGGCTGGCAAAAAGGTGGGGACGCAGTTGAAGTTCTCTAGAAGCGTTGCTGCCACCCTGTCCTGCTCCGATGGGTCTACCTCCACCTGTGCGTAACACATTCCATCCCATCCCATGGCCACCATGCATGCGCGTTGGCGTGAAGACATGCACACATACAGACATGCATGCTCATACACGCATGCACACAGGCATGCACGAGCACAGAAAACCCAAACATGCCAATGGCCATTGACACATGCCCATCACCACCCACACGCGCACAAGCGTTGACCCACACCCACATCAATGAACCACATGCCATGGCATGGCACCTTGAGGGGGGACATTGATCATCCCTGACATGACATCATCCGTGCCTGCTGAAATGCCGATGATGCAAGAGTTGCTTTTAGAAGTTCTCAAGAGCAACGCCAGTGCACCTTGAGCGAGCCGATGTAGATGATCTCCATGTCCTCGTCGCTGCCTGCCCCGCTGTGATGCTGTGAAGGCGGCTCAGGACAGGCAGTGAGGGAAAAGCAGTGCACGCCGCGTGAGTGTGTGTGTACGCGTGCGCACCTTGAGCGAGCCGATGTAGATGATCTCCATGCCCTCGTCGCTGCCTGCTGTGATGCCTCAAAGGCGCCTCAGGAAAGGCGGTGGGGGTAAAGAAGAGCGTATGCATGCCGAGTGCACACACATGCCACGCATGGGTGGTGGACAGGGGACACCCACTCCCCCTTCCCCCGCGCACCTTGAGCGAGCCGATGTAGATGATCTCCATGTCCTCGTCGCTGCCGGCTGTGATGCCGTCTTTCATCTGCAGCAGCAGCGCGTCCTCGTCCCACCTGAACGCCCACTCCTGCTCCATGCCACGCCATGCCGCGTTGTGGGCAGCGTGGGGAGTGTGGGGAGTGTGGGGAGTGAAGGCAGTGTGGGCAGTGGGACAGTCAGGCAGAGAGGCAGTGGGGCCATGGGGCGGTGGGGAGGCGGGGAGAAGCAGGGATGTGGGGGAGGGGGGATTGCACAACATGAATAATTTGCTTGCAAAGCATAGCAGCAGGGGTTAGGGTCTCTCTTTGTCTTCCTCTCTCATTGCATGCGTGCGTGCCCAAACACACATGGACTCTCTCCCCGCCCCCATTTTTCCGCGACCAAGCCCCTCTCTCTTCCCTCCCTCTCTCACATCTTCTCACTCTCTCTATGCCGTGCATCCTTTTCAAAGGGCCCGACCCCACGGCCTTTGAGGCGCCTCAGAAGCAGTGCATCCTTTTCAGAGGACAGTCCAATCCATCCATTTCTCCCTTTTACATTCTTCACCACCCCCGTTCCTCTCTTATACCGCACATGCACGTGCATACATACCGAAGAGCCCCATACAGAGCGGCAATCACAAGTCCACATTGTATACCCGCCCCACATTGTAGCCCCCGCAAACCACACACTAATCCCATCCGCCCATGCGCAACGCCCCCCTTCCTCTCCAATCCACAATTAGCCCGATCTAATTCCTACTACCTTCCCCACCCCGTTTCCCTCGCCTCCCACTCCCATTCACCTCCCCTCCTCTCCCCTCCCCAAAGCAGCATCTTCCCCTTGCGCACCGGCGCCTCACCCGCACCATCTTCCCCCGCCCTTCCCCCCTTCCCAATTGCTCCCCATTCCGCCTGCACCTCACCTGCGTGGCGGGGTCCCGTTCCGCGTGCAGCGGAAGCATGTTCGCCACAATAATCAACCGCTCTTGCGCCAGGCTCGACGGCGATTCCGATCCCGAGCTTGACGCCTCGTCCACCCCCCCGCCCAGCCCCATCAGATTCCCCGCGCCCGGCCGCCCGCCGTCCGCAATCGTCCCCGTCGCCGTGGCGGAGCGGGTGAGGCTGCCCTTGCTTCCGCGCGCGACTGGGCGCGTGAACAGCGGCGCGTCCCCTGATAGGTCGAGGAGGTTCGCGTAGGACCGCGACATGGTGACGTGGACGGGTGACGTGTCGTGCTCCTGAGGGGCCGACGGTTCGCGCTCCTATCCTATCTTGACCAGACGAATCGCAAGTCCTATTTCTAGCACGTTCACCCTAAGAAGCAACCGCCAGCCTCGAGAACCAGCTTACGACCCTCGAGCGACGGGCGAAGTGGTAACCAGATTGGACCTGAAAAGGGAGACGACAAATAAGAAGCCGAGATTTTTAGAGAGTGGTGGGGGGGGAGGGGGGGCGAAGCGTTTAAGAGACACGAATGTCTGATGAGGTACGCGATGAGACCGATTCGAATACGCGAAGCCTAGGTTAGAATGAGAGGAAGATGCGCGAACTAGTGCGAATTAGACGTGATCTGAAGAACGAGGGGAGAGTGCAGGGGTGCGCGCGGCACGAATGCTGACGCGGCGAAATGGAACAAGTAATGAGCACGCGGTGCGCATAATCGGCACACGCGTGTAAACGCTGTGAGATGGATGCTTGGAGACGGGGCAAAGGCGCGAATGCAATCGTGGTAAGCTGGAGCTACTCGTCCCAACAACACGTGCGAAGAAAGGCAAAAGGAACAATGCATTGAAACGGTTTGAATGGCATCAGGGCAATTCACGGACCTCAGCCATCAAAGGACGAGCACCCACAGGAATAAATTGCGGAATTCACTTCAGATCATGGGAAATACAATATATACGCGCACCTTGTCCCTGTCGCTCGCTGCACTCGCTCCGCTTGCTGGTATGCGATTGTTATGTGTCCAGAGACGGGAAACCCCCTTAGGTAAAGGCTCTTAGCCAACCGATGTGGCTCAGGACGCTTCACCTGGCAGCCCTCGGAGAAGTGGCGGGAGGGAACGCCGAAACGCGGAGGTTTTAATAGTCTGTTAGGAGGGAGGGCGAGCAAGACCGCCTTGCTGCTAGCCACTCAGCACCTTGCTCGAGGTGGTAGCAGGAGATTAGGGCTCGACTTGGACGCAATACAGTACGGGGGGGAGGGGGAAGGGGGATGGGGAAGGAGGGGGCAGGGCAGGGGGAGGTATGGGGGTGTGGTGGGAAAGGGGGGACCTAGCGGTGGCGGAAAGGGGGGCTTTGTTGACAGGGGGACAGGAAGGCAAAACCACAGAAATGGATAGGGTCGGCGGAGCGATTGGGGAGGGGAATATGAGCAGTAAACGTTGCTGCGCGGATTGCGAGCAGCATGGCGAACAAAGTCGGCTGGCGCAGTACTACAGTAGCGCTCTTCGTGGCTGAAGTGTTTGTTTCCGAAGAGGGGGTGTAGGCGGAGGGGCAGGGGCGGCTGGTTGGGGACATCGGGGGGGATGGCCAGTGGGACGCGTCCCCCGCCACGGTCGAGCCTGCGCAGGGCAGTATTTGACGTCAGCAACAACTCTCTGCATAAATAATCTACAGAGTAACATGTAGAAAATGTGCCGTCGCAAATGAACAGTAAACCTCGAGAAAGTTCGTAAAAGGGCATTCTTTCATCGCAAATGAACCGTCTGCCGCTGATGTACAGCCTAAAAAAACCGAACCAGCGCAGGTTCGGGCGGGGGAATGAGGCGGGGAGTGACTCGCTACACGCCTCTTTGGTGGGCACATAGATACATTCTTGAAAAATTCTCCTCTACTTCATTCTACGGCTACACACTTCACCTCACCTCTCAAATGGTCCATAAGGGCCATCAAGTTTTGTATGAATTGCATCATGAATCCAAAAGAGGTACCAGTCCTCACCAAATTTCTGCACAAGGCAAATGCAATTAAGTCTGTGTACTGTCATATGGGTTTCTTTTTTTTTTTTGGTTGCGAAGCAACCTATTGCGATCGTTATGTACAATTTTTTTTCCGTATTCGTACTCTATTTATTTACATAGAAAGTGATCCAAAATAATGTCATTTGAGCCCACCACGTGGTATGGAACCGTTGTATTTCTTCTAAATATTTTGCTGGCCAGACTCTTCGTATGTATGAATTATGACTCTCTTCGATGTTATTCCAAACCTGCACTGTATATTCTGTAATGCATACGCAGTAATATTCTGTCGGACATAAATGAGGATGAAATGCATGCATAACAATGAATATAGTGAGCCAAACATGAAATGATAATGCATAATATGATGTATATGCTATAGTTGTATGAGTAGTATATGCATATATGTACTACACCAATGTTGTGAATACGTAAGATGATTGAAATGTGTGATAGTTAGTTGACCCATACACTAGGCTACCGCATCCCCTGCCTAGCATGGGGGGGAAGCCAATAGCTTAGCGTATGAATCATCCAACAATCACATGAAACAACACAATCTGTGTGATTAAAAAAAAAAAAGGTCAATTCCATCAAATTTAGTTCAAATGGACACACTCACTGAGTGCGCAAAGAACCTTCTCGGAAATGATAGTTTGATCCCAATTTTTAAACCTCACAGACATGCGTTATTAATGCAATGGAAACATGAATGAAAGGGCATACGCACACAACACAACGCATAACCACACAAATTAAAGAGACCGTCGCTTATTAATACCTTTCATATCTCTCACGCTAATTGTTCTCACGCTCACGCAGGTCTGTACTCATTATAATAATCTGTTCAAATGTATAAGATTTAACCCATCGAAATTATAACATTATAACATTATAACTCATGTGAGCATCTTCTCCGTTGTTTCAAATCGCTCACAGCTTCACCATCGCTGCACAAAAAAACAGGGCAATTTTCAAATGTAAGAAAAAAAATCATAACGTTAATCAAACTACCATTATGACGGGTACATTTAGAAAGCTTGCTTTCTAACAATTATCATTTGGCATCGTTCTCATTTCAACTGGCAAATTACAACATGCACCTCGAGCTAGACAATATAAGCGCTAGTACATGTCCTGATACTTCCTATCAATCATTCGTCAAGCTATCAATCCTAATAGGTGTGCGCTAACCCACATTGTACCACTTGTGTCCTCCTGTGTAAGCGGCGGCCTTGATGTCCATCGGTGTTGGGCGGGGGGTGGGAGAGTTGCATGAGCCGTTTGAAAAATGAGAGACGTGGGTGGAGGGAAATGAACTCCAACCCACGATTTGTAGTTGGAGATGGGCGTTTAGCGCGCTTCGACGATGCCAAATTCCCGTTACAGTCAGCTGCGCTTTCGAAATACGTAATTTTAAAAAACACTATGTGTGTTTAAAAATTATCATATGTAGAAAATCACAATAAAAAATATGCTCACGTCTTGTCTCCTTTTGGCGGGTGTTGACGAAATCGGTGTGCTCGATGTGTCAAAGCTTGTTGTAGCGTCGATTGACTGCGTGATCGTCGAGATGTCCAAGATGGTCTTGCTCACGCGTGCTCCGTCTGAACGAAAGTGGACCTTCAATAGCAATGAACGATACTTTGAGTTAGAGAGCTATCAATCATCACATAAAAAAAAAAACATACTAAAGTGCACATTACACAAGTGAACAAAAATCTTAGCAAACAAATAAAAGATTAACAATTGAATTCACATACCTTCACATGCCACCGGCCACAAAGCGCGTCCAATGCAGCTTGCCGCTCGCCCATTGTCATGGAGTGGAAATCCGAAACCTGAAACCTTGAGAACAGTCGTCCCAAGACTTCAGGCTGAATCTCCAAACCCTGAGCCTGCGTCGTGAACGAATCTGAGAATGAAACATAGGGGAATTTATATTAAAACAATGCCATTGTACTTAAGATTTGTGGAAAGTATGACAGACATCAAAACGAAAATGCTAGGCATCATGCTTACCACTCTCGTGAACAACAAGAGTCGCTGTCACGTTATCAAACGCGCGGACTGATGTCGCTTTGTGGACGCGACATCTGTGGACCTCCGAAGCCGCGGAGGTGAAAACAGGCATTCCGCAAATGGAATCTCCTGCACCAGCAGCGCAGACAACTCGACTGTCGTGCACTGGGTCTCTGAGGTCTGCTGCAAGTGTTGCTATCTTCTCTTCGTTTGTCACCGTCACCAATGTGTCCACATGAGACATCCTGATCATTCAAAACAAAAAATGACCAATGAGTTTCACCTTCGCTAATAACGACTCACTTGCGCAAATTTTGATAACTTACAAGTCAACAAGACCGACGTCTTGTAGCTCGGTGACTGGTGCGTCCGCTGTGACGGATGCTGGAACAGGATCGAGAATGACAATGGTCGAAGGCACTGTCGTCGTGAAAACTGCCGATTTGAGATACACGTTGCTGATGAAGACAGGAACATCGCTAGCATCGGGGTGATCTGCAAAATAACTCTCACAGCTGGAGTTGAACCTGATGGCGGCATCCCCGAGCGCTATCAAAGCGCTCTTCATCGTTGAATCATGGATGCCGGCCGTGAACTTTGGGAGCGCGCGGTTCGATTCGAAAGACGAGATCTTGAGCCTGACAGAAATGCAAGGGATCTGGAAATAAAAGTAGTAAATGGTACAATTGAAGTGAAAACATAGAATACATGCAGAGAGACGCACCATGCGTATCTTTTACAATGTGTGGCATGAATGAATTGGGATAGAACAGAAGGCAAAAATATGTACTACAATGTCAGAGGTCCACTGGTGATCCCCGATTGATCCTAGGGAAGGGTTACAGGCACGTTGGCCTGGGGGGTTATGGGCGCACTCACCCGCTACTATAACAAGCCCTTTTATCCCAGTGGTTAGTGACTGGGATTCTGACATGGTATCAGAGCGAAGGTCTCGGGTTCGATTCCCGGTGTGTGCACTTCGGGCATCCCAGTGCGGGGGGGTGTCAGAGGTCCACTGGGGATCCCCGATGATCCTAGGGAAGGGTTACAGGCACGTCGGCCTGGGGGGTTATGGGCGCACTCACCCGCTATATAAACAAGCCCTTTTATCCCAGTGGTTAGTGACTGGGATTCTGACATACAAATCACAAAAAGCAAGTGACAGCTACAATTTAACAATCATACGTTGGAAGATTGAACAAATATCATGGCAATTCTTACCCT